CAGTATTCAACCCCGCGCAGCGCAGATGGATTGGCATCTAACACCATACTCCCTGGGCACCGGAACGCGCAATCGCTACCCCAGATTACCTCGGTGCCATCCACAAAACGCCGTCGCACCACACCGGACACTCACCCCTAACTTCGGCGCCGCAGATACAAGGCACGCACAACACTGCCTTGCTGCTTATGTCCACTGCACCACCAGCGCACGCAGGCCAGCAGTGCGATGAGTGCTCCTGCGCCTTCGCGCGCAAGCAAAACACACCTTCTGAATCAACATGCGAATCCCGCCACCATAGCCCCTCCCGTTTCACCCCATCACATCCAACACCCAAGCAGTACTAGCTTAGGCCCTTCCCGGCGCACCAAAGTGACGCTGTGTCCTGACGTTCACGGTCGGTAGAACTCATGCAGAACATTACTCCTCTGCAGAGCCACCGCCTCACGGACGCAAACGTTCACACATGCGGAGAGGACTGGTGCGACTTTCCACAAACCCGAAAGCCCCACAAAACTCGACGGAATCTGCATCGCCACTCGCAAACACTGATACAGGAGAGATGCGCAGTTAAGCAAGCAAACACGCTCACTCCCTGACGGGAACGAGACAATCAGCTGCGCCTAAGCTAGCGTTCGCTGCGCCTGGCACGCCCACCTCTCCTCTACCTCCCAGACCCCACGTCAGCCAGTCCCGCCACGACTGCGTACCCATCCAACTGCGACCACCCCTAACACCCGCTCTACTGAAGAATGTACGACGTGTGCAGCTATTTCCCTGACAGGTGTCTTGAAGGGCAGGAAACACACAGCGACACCGGCATCGTGCGTGCTACTGACACCACATCTACCCTGCGCTACACGGCGTCACGCGTGCTACTGGCAACCCAGCAACCGTGCACTACTACACCCCACCACCACGTCTAACGGTTCGTTATTTAAGGCGGCTCACGCGTTCATAAATATCCTTTTCCTTCTCAGTAGGTCGTGCTGTCCCTCTGCGTAGTTCTATGCCTGCCACTGGGCAGCCGTACCCACGGCGGTCCACGTATTCTACCCGCATGTAGATAGAAACTGCCATCCCTCGAAGCCCACACGAAGGCAGCGCTACATCCTGCACTGGCTTCATTGACTGACGCCCAAAACCAAATGGGTCTGCGGGGCATCCTTCCTATTGGGGGGTCCAATACTGCAACCACCCAGAACTCTCCCACTCAGCACCTAATCATC